TCACAGTAACAAGACACGGGCGTTTCCTCCCACTGGATCCGTAACAGATACCTCCCGAAACGTCCGTGTCCAAAATACACTTGCGTCAGGCGAAAGGTTAGGAGGCCATGGTGTCTTTAAAGCCAGTTTAAAGCTAGCTAGTTTTTTTTAAAGCTAGAGAGTTTTTAATATTTTTGTCTGTCTGTCTGTCTGACTGTATGTTGCTTATATGTATAGGTAGAAACATTTACTACTCGACAGATTTTAACGAAACTTGGTACAATTATTCTTTATCTTGCTGGGCAGGTTATGGGACGCTTTTCATCGCTCTACAATTAGGTAATAGGAGCAGAGCAGTGAATGGTAACATTGGGAAAACGGGAGAAGTCACTCAATTTGTTTAGCTTCCGTCGCGTTACACACCCGTTTACCCAATATTTCCCTTAATGGTTAAAAATACTTACATAGAAATCACGGGAATGTTCTACATACAATTATCTAAATAATATTTCACTACAGTATATGGTAACACGTATGTCTGGTTGTCTGTATGGTTGACTCACAATAACAGGTGTACTTAATTCCTGATAGCTTAGCAGTTCGGAGCATTCTGATTATATTTCTTCACTCTTTCGTTTATAATACTCTCACTTATTCCTAATTAAAAAGTTTACATTATTTTCTATATGATAGAAATCAGTATCTATCTATGCGTGCACCTTTGCGACATCGTGCTTCAAGATAATAATATTTTGAGCACGGGCGCTGTTTAGTTATTTTACCCTCTGCTTTTACAGGTGGCACACGCTACATGCACGAACGTGCCTAAAAGTATAGTAACACCCATAAAACAGCATTGCACCCGTGCGAAGCCGGGAACCGAGAAAAGTATAAAATATGTAGGCTACACCTCAAACATCCTTTTGTAACAGTTGTATATTACGATATACCTACCTACGTCCCTATAAATTATAGACAGTGGATTTTTCCTACATCCTTAGGAATGTAGCCATTTTGTTGCGCAACAATTTCACAATAAATGCAATCATTGCGCAATTTGTGAAATGATTACGCAACAAAGTTGAATATAAACGATAACGTTCGTGGGATGAGCCACATTCAGCTCAAGCAGTTGACGCAAGTCACATTATATCTCACGCTATACCAGCTATACCTACATACCTACTTCACTAACCGATACGAAGATCCGTTGTGTGTTTCAGAGGTTGGAGATCCAGCACATGGAGACAGCAGTCCTCGTAGCAGTGCCCAGCCGTGGGCAGCCGAGTGCTGAGCCTGCAGCTCTAGATGTGAGCACAGGAGTGGAAGCTGATACAAGATGTTCTCGCTGCAGAGGCCGCTCGAGAGATCGATCTGTGAGTCGAGGTCGATCGCGAGGTAGGTCCAGGGGACGCTCTAGGGGCAAGTCACGCAGCCGCTCCAGGGGCAGATCTCGCGGCCGCTCTAGGGGCAGATCTCGCGGCCGCTCTAGGGGCAGATCTCGCGGTCGCTCCAGGGGTAGGTCCCGCGGTCGCTCCCGAGGAAGATCCCGTGGCCATTCAAGAGGAAGATCCCGTGGCCATTCAAGAGGAAGATCCCGTGGCCATTCAAGAGGAAGATCCCGTGGCCACTCCAGAGGTAGGTCTGCAGGACCATCGAATAACATGGGTCATGGATGTCACAAGGAAAAGGACCACGATTGCTGCAAGCAAACGCAGAAAGGAAGAGCACGAGAAGAATCAAGGCAGCGATGCAGACACCATTCAAGGGGTCACTCCAGAGGACGATCTAGGAGTCATTCCAGAGACCACTGCAGTGGAAAATGTAGAGGCCACTAGAGACATGTCGTAGTCCTACGACATAATTAATAGAAAGTATCTACAAAAACTATAAAAAAGGAAAAAAACACTAAAAAAAAATATAAAAACACAAAATGACAAAAAAAAGCTTAGGTTAGGGACATGGGGTGCGTGCAGAGAACCTCCTCGTGTGCTCGGCGGCTGCAGGTCCCTCACGGATGTGTCCGGGGGGAAGGGCAGCTGGCGGGCCGGTGCACCCTGGGCACGGACAATCATCTCTCTCGAGGGGGAGAGATTGTTGTTTGTGGCGAATTTCTGCATTTTCTTTTCCCATTTATTAAAATATTTTGTTCCTTATGAAAGACATTTCGCAGATTACTGCACTTCTCAGTCAAACCTTATTTGAATAACATCTTTAATTGAGGGCATTCATTATTTAGGTACGACTGGCAAAATACATATAAGTCGTTAAAATAAGCCTCTAAAATAATAGATTCCCAGTAAAAAAGTATTAAAAACAATCACTCTTTGTACGCAGAGCTACATCCGATTGCTTGCTAAAATTACCGTGTCGGGAAACCATATCCATTATTGTGAGAATGTCCATACAAAAAATTCATTCGGAAATTGTCGATATTCATGTGAGTACTTACCTACTTTATGCAACACTTACTTACATTTTTCTGTCTTAAAAAACGTTGCCCCACATAAGCATTTTCTCTTGTGACGTGGGTGTGTTTACAAACATAGAATTTCACATACACATCACACCCAGACCATGAACAACAATATGTGGATAACACAGGTTTTGTTCCGTGCGGGAATTGAACCCGCGACACGTTACGCGGCAGCCAGTTGCGTAAACACCAAACCAACCGTGCAGTCATATAATTTCCATCAAATAATAGAACAGATGCATAAGAAATATATATAAAAAGAGGAGAGGATTTAATCGACAAATAATTAAGGATGGTTACTCATGAACTCAAGATACCTTTCAATGTCATTTTGCAAGCCAGAGATTTCTGGATCGCAATCATAGATCGTATGAACTTGTAACTGGTAATAGGTATTTATATGAAAGTCTCATGCGCATTCGAATCCTGGCAAGTACCAATGTGACTTTTGCCGAGTTATATGTACTTTATATTATTTATATATTCCCATGACAAACGGTGGAGGAAACCAGGGCTTATAATTTCTTATTATAAGTTTTAAATCGCTAAACGTCATTGAGCAAGCGTGGTGCTTATTGCAAACAAACCTTCCCCGTGTAAGAATGTGCCTTTGCTGAGCTGGGCACTTATAGGCTGATAATGATGTATGTATGTATGAACATTTTCGTTTCAGGGAGTCTATACACTTGCTTTGTACGTTCACTATTTCACTGCGGGTTGTCTCAAGAGCCACACTAGACGGTACACGGTAAAGCTGGGCCACTTGCGGGAATTGATAGACAACCCTAATGTACCGGATTTCATGAGGTTTGTCCCTCTAAGAAGGTGGCTACCCGAAGGCGAAGCCCCTTACCCCGGCTACTGCAGAGCCCCTGGCAGCGGGGTCTGTCTCCCAACCCTCTGTAACTGCGATAAACTAAAATACCGTTGGAACATGATGAAATCACAAAAAAAACTCGCATCTACTGTACATCCTTTATAGTAGACACAAAAAATAGCGTTTTACGTTATTTTTATTTAGAAATAATCTTACACAGCCTTTCTACAATAAAGTTTGAAGTGCGCTTACATTTGTCATTTACAATTCGTGTTGTTTAGTTTACAAAATATTCATATTGGTATACAATAAATGTATAAAAATTGTGATTATAGGTAATTATGGCTATTTATATATTATATAGGTTGAGAAAAAAATATTAATAATAAAGCATATTATCTAACTTATATCGTATTGTATAAAATAACAAAAAATGAAAAGGCAGTCAGTAAAATTTTGCCGTTTTATGAAATACGCAGCTAAATACTTGATGCGCTGTTAGATGCCTTCTAAATTCGTCTTACAATGTTGTTAGGTTTGGCTAACATAAAACAATACGAGAGAGAGATACAACTCGTATGTATTTATAAACATAAATACATACGAGTTGTACATAAGTATGTTTTTTGTCATAACTACATATAGCGAGACATATACCCCATTGTTTATAAAACAAGATTTATCTTTAGTCGAGGTTTAAACCATATTTGAAATACAAAAACTGGTTCAGTATTAGACCTAGACTAAAGAAAAACTTTGTTTCATAATAAAGTCGACTTAGTTTATCGAAAATAATGACTAAGGGCTGATTTTTCAATGGTTAGATAAAAGTTACCTGGGGAATAAATATGAGGCTGTCGCGTCAGAATGTATGTATAAGACAGTGACAGCAACAATTTTATTCCTCAGATAACATTTGTCTGACTATTGAAAAATCAGCCCTTAGGTGAATTAACTGAGAAAATCTCTACTAGTTTCAACTCACAACTGGACACTTATGCCAGCTTTCCGAAAGCCCGATCAATGTTAAAATCAACTAACTAGGTGTCAAATCTCTTGTCAAGTCATCTGATTGGTTGTTGATAATTCAGTCAACCAATCAGATGACTTGACAAGAGATTAAATTGATTTTAACATTGATCGGCCTTTCGGATACCGAAAGTTAATCATGAGCAGCATCCCCGCGACCGTTCGGTCAATTAAATATGTATAATTAGTGATGGGTAAGTAGTGTAGGGAAACAAATAAAGACGTAAGTTCTAAAAAAAACATCATTTTGTGCTGAACTAGATGACAATAAATAATGAGAGGCTTGGTTATAATACCTGTCGTGAACCATGGTCATATATTTTAGGTAGGTCTTCTGGTTTAGGTGGTTAACATAAGGACAACAATTTTGATGTCTTTTTAAATTAAATATGCATACTTATCATCCACTAGAATAGACAGAATCCTATCAAAAGATTATGCAATTTATTCAACAACTTTTGAGTACTTATATAGTTTCAGAAAGGTGCAATGAGCAATATAATGCTATTATAAACCTTACACATTGCTTTGTTGCAAAAGAATTGAATAAGTACCAAAACTTGGTAAAGCCGATCAACAAATTGACATAACACAACAAAGGGTACTAAATCACAGTATGCCGTTATAGTATTATGAACCTAATTCCTTTCAGAATATGATACATTTTTAATAGTTAAATCTTTCTGTTGTATGCCTGTTACAAAAGCTTATTCAGTATGACAGGATGTCGTGCATGGCATATCTCCACGTCCAGTTTCTTGCGAGAGCTTCAAAACGAGGTCTGTCCCGTACATACATTTCTCCTAACTCTGGTTCCATGCAGACCTGGGGAAGAATATGTTAAAATCAGACAGTACACAAAATAATAATAATTAGCACTTTGTTCCCCGATTTGGCAGACATAAGCATATTGAAATTCAAAGTCAAAAAATATTTTTAAACATTGATAACGTCAAAACAGAGTTATATTCCGTCAGTACGTTTGTCAGTGAAGATAGGTGCTCGATCTATAGTTTCAATATCAAGAAAAGACATTATCACTGTATATAATAATCCTACTCCCACACTTGAATGACGTCTGATTATGATGAAATGCGTAACTTACCGCAGTGTAAGGGTCAGTGAGCAGGCTCTGTATAGAGATGAGCACCTTACTGATGGTCAGCGCCAGCGACCAGTTGTGGTGCACCGAGTCTATGCCCACGTCGCCGTGCCGGGAGATGTTCGGGTGCAGGATGCGGGTCAGGAACCGAACCACTGGCGGACTCATTGGGTACCTGATCAACCAATCTATATTATACAAATTGATCTCAAAAATGTTCATGGTAGTGTAGTGGAAGTTATTGTTTTGAAGAAAAAGTCGACACATCCACCGGGAGCATCTGAAATTATTAGCATACGAACAAAGCCGGGTCGAGACGCTAGTATATCTATACTAATATTATAAAGAGGTAATGTTTGGAACCGCTGGTCGGATTTTCAGAATTCTTTCACTGATAGAGAGCTACATCGTTCCCGAGTGCTATAGGCTACAAATTATACTTGATTTGTGTATTTCATTCGAGCTATCACTTGGATACATTACTTTTACACGCGTCCGAAGCCGCGGGCGGAAGCTAATAACACCATATAAAAATAATGAAGCGAATTATTATGAGAGCCATACTTCGGCACGAATGCAAGAGCTCTACCGAAGAGAAACCACGGCGTCTGTTGATACTTGAAAAAAGTTTAAGCCTTTGACTGCCGACAGAAAACTGTTGAAGGCAAATCCTCCGGTCACCGGTGACCCGCATGGCTTTTAACGTGCCAATACTGGTGTTGTTTTTCATCGTGTAGGTAAGTGAAGGTACCTGAAATGGGCCTTAGGTCACTTGGCACATATGGGCACAGGATTGGGATCCTATCCTTCATTTCCAATCCCGTAATGTCAATCAATAAAAACTCACCCCACAGGTAATGTGGGGTCCATGGGCGGTACGAATTGCTTACCATGAGGTCACAGCTTAAGTAGGTTGCCGCTTTATTCAACGGTAGCTGTACTCACGCATATGGCACTTGTATGTAGAGATAAAAAACCCCTCCCTCGTAGGGGGATCCTATTGGGCCGGTGACACTGGCCTGCCAGTGACAGCACTTGGGGTCCAACGGGGTCGCCGCTATACCTTCAGGGGGATCGTTTCGCAGCATCTGAATGACAATTTATTTATTTAAAAATACCTGTATCAAGACACAATAGAAGATTAATAATAGGTATTTTGTTTTTTGATGAGGGGAAAATCATCAAATGACTTCTCCCGTGGAAGTGTCTTACTGACTAAAGACTCAGACTCTAACTGACTAAAAACCCCCCCGTTTATTATTTTGCTCTGGGCCGAGGCCGCGGTGTCTCATTGCCCTATAGCTGCTGTGTCTATTGGCTCTTTGAAGTGCGCGTGGAACGCTACGCACCGTACGCTCGGGTCTAGTTCTGATCGGGCGGCGAGCTACCCTTACCCGCCGTCCGAAGACCCGCGCAGGCAACATTAGATCAAAGATTTTGAAATGATTTGTATGGGATCTGTTTTACAACCTTGAGATTTTGAGTTCGTCATGTACCTTAAGTTCAATCCTCAGTCGGTTCCGGCGCCACGCGTTCTCTTCCCCGGCAGGTTGCGCCTGCACACACATCTGTACCAAGCAGTTGCGGCAGAAACACGACTCCACCAAGCACTGGTATTTCTAAAACAAAATAAGTATACAAAATTATTAAATTTATCATTTTTAAAAATTTTACGCAAGCAAACCCCATCAGGACTCAAAAGTTATCTAAAAAATAAAAACGCATAAGTGCTCAAAATGTTTGTACGCGCATAACTTCTAAACTGCTAAACACAATAAATTGGATTGCCATTTTTTCGACAAATTCCCTGCTAATTTAAACCTTATGCACCAAGTCAGTGACACTGACGAATGAATGGCTAGTGGTATGTTATAAATATAGAAGGTAGGTATTATTATTGGTTACTCGTGTTGTGTAAATTAGGGATGTTATCGATAAGATATCTCGCATACGGATATAGGAATGACTATTATAATGGATACGGTTACGGATACGGATATGAAACTATTTCGGATTATCCGTTAGTTTCGGATAATTTCGGTAAGGGATATTAAAATCTTAAGGAATTTCAAAAGTAAAATACAAACAACGTGTCCCAATTAGGCTCCCCCCGTACCCGATATTAAATCTTTATTTCGGATTCGGTTACGTATAATATCGGATATCCGATAGTTTCGGTTAGGTACGGTTACGGAGCTCCCTAGCATCCCTGGTATAAATATTGTACCTTGTGCCAGTCGATGTTTGCAAGCAGCGGGCGGTACAGCGGGAATCTCTTGTGGGTGAAGGCAGCCCACCGCGGCGGGGACACGCGCGCGCGGACCAGGCGCCACCATCGCCCACACACACATGCGCACGCGCACAGGGACAGGTCGTCCAGGTAGCTGAAGATGCACAGGAGTACTGCAATTTAAAAAAGCATTAATGAGTAATTTGGTACCTAAGACTTTTTTTGCTTCAGCATGAAATGTATGGAAGCTACCTATGAAAGAAAAGTTATTTAGAATCTTAATGGTAATTGGGGTCAATGATCTAATATTTTAAAAACAGGTTGAATTTCCAGGTTCAGACAAATCTACCAAAACATTTTATTACGAGTTGTGAATGGAGAACGCGAATTGTTGCGACGTGTATATCCACACAAATACAATTATAATCTACCTTCAGATGGCAATTGCTCCACAAGTCCCGGCGCTAAATTATCCGGTGGTCTTGGTGTAGAAAGAGCTTGTAATGAGCGCGCAAGGCAAGGCGGCTGTGGAGGTGGGCCTAGCCCGGCAGTGTCATCGCGAACTGGCGGGTCACTAGCGCGACCAGCGCTAGCCGACGTTCCTTCAGCACGACCTGGATCAGCGTAAGGTGGCCCATCATTCCGAGAAGGTCCATCATTGCGTGGGGGCATGTCATTTCGCGGCGGCCCATCATTTCGAGGCGGCCCATCATTTCGAGGCGCCCCATCATTTCGAGGTGGCCCATCACTCCGTGCCGCATCAGGCCGCGATGGCCCTTCCGGCCACATACGTCCATCACCCCTCCCCGCGCCGCCGTTACCTCCCACCCCGCTGCAGTTGCCACTACTACTTGCGCCGGCGCCAGAATTGCTAGCTCGACTTGCTTCATCCTCTGGACTAGTCTCACTGTCCAGTGAGCTCTAAAAGATGCGATTGGTCAATTAGAGGTCATATCGTGGATGAGGATATAAGGCGTTACTACTTGAGTATACTGTTTGTGTCTGCTTAGATTGGGGAAGAATTAAAGAACTAAGACAGACCTTTTCAGATTTGCAGTAATAGTGTTGAAATGGAATTCTAATTTTCTCAATCCCATGTGCTGATTATAAAATCATAGGGTGCAAATCTGGGTCCATGTATATGTAAATTGAGCATCAACTATAAGCCCCATTAAATCCATAATGACTTATTATAAACATCTGTTAAGCAAGGATACTCTAGTAAATCTGCTATAGACCAAATCTTGATTAATCTTGAACTTTAATTAACATATTTAGGATTTGATCAGGGAAATGTAGTGTTTGTAGGCACCTTTAGATTGGGAGGCTTGGGCAGTCCGTCCTAACCCCCATTAGTCTACCAATGCACTGAAGCCAGGTACAAAAATAATTGGACTACTTATCTTTACCACCACACTTGTATTTTGTTACAATACATAACAGATGTAGTGTAGAATTTTATAAATAAATAATTAAGTAGTAGCTTGGCATATAAACACTGTAATGTAAAAAGCTATTCCCTACTAGAAACCAAATTTACGCAAGACAAATGCCCGGTTTCTGAAAGCCCGATCAATGTTAAATCAACTAATGAGGTGTCAAATCTCTTGTCAAGTCATCTGATTGGTTGTTGATAATTCAGTCAACCAATCAGATGACTTGACAAGAGATTTGACACCTCAACCAATCAGATGTCAAGTCAACCAATCAGATGACTTGATAAGAAATTAAATTGATTTTAACATTGATCAGCCTTTCGGAAAACCTGGTGAAAGACAAAGAATCTATTTTGTATTTTCTTAAATATAGGGGAAAAATGAGGTCATATTCATTACAAAATAGATTACAAAATATAATTGTTAATAAGAATTTCACATAAGACCTCTTTGTAAATGAAAACAAAGTAATTATCTGGCTATCTATAGCTTCTTTGTACATTATACCTGTATACTTACTCTATAATACCACCAAGATGGCACAGTGCAGGCTCTGTTAACTTTACGTTCAGAACTATAGTTTAAATCCGAAGGCTCGTCGTTGCCCGAGTCACCGTCATCCGTTTTCTCGCTATAAAAGTATGACGAAGGTAAATACGACGGAAAGTCTGGGAAAAGAAAAGCATGACAAGTGACGCAGACTGGCTCCCCAAAGCTGGGCCCATAGTACCCATTGCAGACGTGACATGTAGAATTCTGTAACAATAATAGTGTCGTTGTTGTCTCAACAGAACTTGAGAAAAAATTATCAATTGTATAACTATTCGTGGCTTACGTACATCAAATTCAAAGTCAAGGGGTGGTTCACTTGGGGGAGTACAAGTGAGCTTATCCCCGTTCTCTTCTAACTTCTTCATAAATTGGAAAAATTCCGGTGTCATTGCAAACATGTTTACACTCTTTCAATACACAGGATGGACCTACTTCACAACAAAACACTTAGTAAAATCAATCATGTATTTACGGTAGAAGTGTCAATTAGGGTAAGTTTCTCGCTTTTGTATTTCTATCAAAGACAGCAGTTTTCTTCTCGACAGAGAATTGATATTTATACCATTAGAAACTACAGAAAACAATCAAATCAAATCATGAAATCAATCAGGCAAATGTCAACTCAAGATGTGAAAGTTTGACAGTCAATTTGACACTGACAGTAGAATAATTTATTGCCAGCTTTAAATATTATTTGTCAAGAACCGATTCTGAAATTTGGGTTTAAAAATATTGATCTGTTACTACAAAAAACAGATGAATATTGATTAGCGTTAATTTCTACCGGTGCAGTGTTACTTAGCTTCAGGATACTCTCTAACAATCTTTCGACATTATTTGCTAATAAACCTCTCTTCTTCGACATTGTTTCAACGAAATAAGGTTTAGCATGGACTCTAATTCAGCATGCATTTAGTGGTTTATAAAATTATTGAAAAAAAACTTGTACTTGTCTGAAAAAAGCGGTAATAGGATTGACACATTATTTAGTGTGATGAAGGTTGCCGATTTAAATAAAACAACAAGTCTTTCTTAAAATTATTCTTAAATTATTTTCATTTCATGTTTCTCCTTTCACTTGTTTCTTTCGAGCATTTCAAAGTGCCATTTTATATATTTTTTTTGAAACGAAACACATTATACAGTTATGTATAATACATTTTCATACATGTACATTGTACTTTACAATAAAATGAATAAATATTAATTTATAATAGTATACATACCAAACAAAGGCAACCAATTTTTTTAAATACTTCAATAATATTCTCAATTTAGTATTGGTGATATTTAAAATGTAAACAATCAATCTGGACGAATACAAACAAATACTATCACAACATACACAAACATGGAGATGAAATAACAAAACACAATGTAGATAGATACAATCAAAAATTATAATAATTCTGAGATAAGTGAAAATGTCACTATTTATGTCAATACATGATGGTAGAAACAAATTATTAGAATTTTTCAAGACCTATTTTTGCATTTCATAATATTACTATTCCTAGAGGCAGGCGCGAGGCGACGCAATCCGTGCACGTTGGTGGGAACATAGCTGGACAATGCTAACGTACACTCAATATGTTCACCGACCATTACATTTCTAAAATACTTCATATTGCGAATTAACTGTATACTAGCAATCCTAATAACCTTGCGGCATTCGTAATGGCTACAATACGACCCTTACTTCACTAAACACCTAAACTGCGATATGAACAATGATTACCAAAATACTGTATGTATTCACAAATTTAAATCTGACATCTTCAAGGCAAATATGATACAAAACCAGAATCAAAGATGACATTTCAACATTATCTAAGTGTAGTAGGTACAGAATCAAACATGGCCGATCAGCAATGGAAGTTTACATCATGTTTTTAATATCTATTTCCTAGACTACTTACTCTATACACTTCCCTATAATCGAGTCCTATGAAGTATTTTTGTTCACAATCAAAACAGCACATTTGCTTAACAGTCACTTCATTTCAGTAATCTTATACAAATAAAAATAAAACTCATATTTCCTTAACGCGATCCGTCATAATACACCGGAGTCTGCATAATTTTCCTTACCTATATAACCGTAACTGACAACGTTAAGAAAGTAAAGGTAAAAGGTAGAGCTAGAGTCCAGTGGCGCAGGCGAGCAGCTATAGTCAGGTCGACGTCCCGGCGTCCACACACTAACTTAGCTATACCGCACACTCGCACAAAGCTACCGCGCGGCGGCCGGGGGTGGCCCCCCTCTACCGCACTCAGTACGGAGAGTAATACATGCCGCGCCTGTAACCTCTGCAAACAAGGCACGCCGTTAGTCACTACAGCAACACGTTACACGTTACAGCTACCAGCTACTGCTACGCGTTGCGCGCTACGCACTGCCATGCAAGCTACATATACGACGAAGGAGGGGCGCCGCATTGAAAATGCTCAAGTTTTCTATTACAAACTTTATTTGTAAAATGTGTGTATAAATATTGTCTTTCTTTTGATCAATTTACAACAGTTTGTACCGAAAATTACAACAGTGTCTACTGTCTACAGAGTTTCTTGCGCAAGATGCCACCTCTTATTACGTGTCAACATTAAACTGACTGAATCCTTCCACTTCATAATCAATAAAACAGAAGCAGACAGGGGAAGTTGAGGTGACATCCTCACAACTTACCACAGAAATTGAGGTAATTTGCAACTGTTAGTTTAATACAATGCTAAAATTCATATTTCTTGCCTTTCATTTGACATAATGTATAATTCTGTCGATTCTACTGATAATTGATAACAGAGCCTTATTTCAGAGTTGCCAATTATACATAACATTTGATTTTCGGATTATAAGAATAACAATTAGACATTTGTCATATTTTATAAAAAAGCTTTAGGTTGGTTATTTTAAAAATGAAGAGATGGTGTGAAAACTAAATGACAAACAAAAATATGTATCTGATTTGTTAAGAACTAAAAATAAATAAAAAAACCTAACAACAAAAAATACTAACATAAAATTCTGCACTTTAGAGCAACTAATATTTTCTCTTATCAGTTTTATATTAAAATTTTAACATGAGCATGCTACTGTTAAACATACTGCGCTCGAGAGAATGATATAAAAGCAGTAATTTGAAGTAAAATTTTATGTAAGTATTAATTTTGGCGACTTTTTTTAACAGTGACATATTTTCATTTGATGTTAACACATTTTTTGCAAACTTTAAATCAAGTCTTTTGATATACTTAAAATACACAATGTCTATTCTAAAGGCTCATACAAAGACATTTTTTACTTTTAATACAATGACAGCAAAGCTACAACACACTGACATGTGTTGTTCACAAGATTTTTTAATGACACTATAACAGTTGCAAATTATGTAACAGAATAAAAACCACAGAAGTTGAAGATGTAGACAGTGTTAATATGGATTGTACCTGCCGCGGCGTACGGGCCGGTAGCCCGAGTAGTACGGTGAGAAGCCTCCGCGGAACGAGCGACCGCGGCCCCGCATGGCGCGCGGCGGCCGGTTCGTCGTTGACAAGCCAGGCTTGTTCGTACGCTTGGGCATCACCTGCACACATAGAAACAAACAATTTATATTTGGCTTTCTTCAATCGTAAAATATAACAAATAAAATTTAATAAAAAAGGGGCCACTATGTATCATTTCCAAATAATTATATATTTTGTTATATTCTTTTAAGAACTGGGAATGTCTTAACATAAACATGAAGTCAGAGATAAAGTAATTTTACCAAAAGCAATATTCTCCTCCTGGTGTTATGAAATTAAAAGAGCTTGCAATCACAAACAAACATATTAATAAGTGCTGTAAATGTAAAATCTATCAACTAATAATGTTAAAATCATAACCCACCTTTATTTGCCGCCCTCTAAATAACGACTCGTCCATAGCCATTGCTGTCTGTACGCTGTCTTTGTCACCAAATTCTATGTAGGCAAATCCCTTAGGATGGCCATCAAACTTATTACATAATATCGTAACCCTGGAAATTATCAACATTTTTATTAGTAAACATAAATTATAAAATTACTTATGTAAAAGAAAATAATATATAAATTCAGATATTATAAGACTATTTATTATAAGGTGGTATTTGCTGCAATTTTGTTAGCATCTTACCTATTAATAGATCCACATCCGTGGAAATGCTGCTCTAGCTCTTCGGCGGTGGCGCCGTAGTCGACATTGCCGACATACACTGATCTGTTGTCTGCCTCTATCTTCTCCTCGATAGACATGTTTAATGGACTTGCTGTGATAAGAAGAAAAGGAAACTTAGAATAAATTGTTTGTTAAAGTACACATGTTTTTACTCGAAAACAAAATAGCGATACATAGGGAGTAAACATTGTCTTTGAGGATATAATTTTTTTTGATAATTATGCCTTTAGTACCTTTTACAGTTCTTTATTATGTGGATATTAACATTAAGTTTATAAGGCAAGTTCATTGTTAGAGCTACTTCGCCAATATAGCAGTTATCTTTTTAATAAAATTCTCACTCGCCTAGGCTATCGCATATTCTACAGTGCTCAATATAATGACAACATTTACATATGCGTCAAACTATCCAAGAGGCTAAGAAAATTACGATTGCATTTTTAATACAGCTTTAAGCAATCATAAACTATTTTCCAATGTAATAAAGTATTATAATAACACTTTCATTCATAGATTTCCTCTAGATATGTTTATTGATGCAAAAAAATATGTTGTCAAACACAACACACAATCCCATTCAAAATTCATAGTATTGATTAGACTTGTTACCAATCATACAAGTATCAGCTAAATTTCACATAAAAAAGTCTGCTACAGAGTACTCCTAATTTTGTGGTATAGATCTAAGAGTTTACTGAAGCCCTGAGTAAGTGAGCCAACCAGAGACCGAGACGCATATAAAAATGTTGTTAACATTAAAGACTATCATGCAAAACAATGTATTTTTCTTTCTCAGAGGACCTTGGTATACCATTATTTATTGTGAAGTTTACCAGAATATTGATCCTTAATATTTTTAAGCAAGACCTTTGGATAAAAAAACATTAAGAGCAGAGCTAACAAACTTTAAATGAATATTTACAAGACAATTGGGAGCAAACTGATACATATTATTAAACACTAAAATTCATAGCTAAGTAACACTGCAAAACATTATCAAAAAAAACAGAAACAAAAATATCTTCCTGACTATTTATCCTTACTGAGTTGCAATTTTAATTAATGGTATTTGTTAAGGCTTGATTAAGTGTATTTATGTCTATACAATACAAATGAATGAGTGAAAAAAGCAATGTTATCTTCACTGCAATACCATAAATTCATATTACTTTGCCTGTTTAGAATAACTTAGATCCAAACTTCTAAAACTTTTAAAAACACTATCATATTTAAGTCTAGGTAATTATTAGTTTTAGGCTTTGGATCAAAGTTCTAGGGACAAAGTAACCCAAACTTATACAGTATTTGAACAAATGTAGACATCTGCTATGCTGCCCATTGAAGGTAACACCTACTACTATTATGACTACTGATCAATGGAAGGAAAGGTTAAAGTGAGAAGTCTATCTATCAGCTGAGCAGTTAATGATGAAATAAAAATACTACACAGAATACTTACTAAGTCCCGGTGGGCTACCCATACTCATCTGCTTGTCAACTTCAGTTTGCATCTGTTTTAGTTTTTCGGCTTCCTCTTCCATTTCCCGAACACGGGCTTTGATTGCCGCTAAATCTGGTACCTCACTACCGGCCGCTTCATCACCACCCTTTAACATTAACATATTAAAAATTTTTACTTTTATTAATTCTAGTCCACTACTGTTATTACTATAATAATTACTACCCACACAACACAATCACAGGATAAAGATATCACTGGAATATTGTCACTAAATCACTACCACTAAGTGTACCTTACTGATTTATTCATGTAAAACATTTGATATATATACCCTGCAAATCACCTATGATCATTAATTAGTGGTTGTTAATTACTAATGGTCAGTTATTAGTGATTGGCAACCATTAATATTACCATGTTTGATATTTTATAATTTTTAGGTTATTAACAAATTAGTTATTAGCAGTTATTACCTAGTTATTTAATATTAACATTATATAGACACACCTTCACTTGTGATGAGATTATAATTGCCATTACATTATAGATATTTATGACAATATCATGTTGAAGTCATATAGCTTATTCTTTTATATGTATACTACCAAATAAAATTAATTACCATGCATTTCTCTAGAAAGTGTAATCAGCATGTTAATAAACAAATGAATAAGCATTAAAGTTTGTAGGTAAAATGATTTTGTTATGAAATACATTGGTTGTTATGACATCTAACCAAATCAAATTATGTTATCAATGTTTCATTGTTGACTATTACGATAGCATACAACAAATGAACCTCTCCTCCTTAAAGTACTTATTATTGTGATATTTACCATAATAGCCATATTGCTTATATTCCCGTAAATTAACACGTAAGTACGTAAAATCTAATCTTTACAGGTTAGCTTTGAAAACCAGTTAGGTAAAGGCCGATTACCGTTAATGCTCAGTAACTGTAACATTTAACATCGGAAATAACTGTTGTCTATTCCGGCTTACCCTTCAAATATTTCTATTTATCTCTGAAGCAATGTAATGTGCTACATTTAGCAAAAATATAACAAGAAATACTCACCCCAAGACTATTGTCAGTCATGTTTAGGGATCCGTTGGTCCCGTCTAAGTGATTGTTGTCAATCGTATCTAAATAATCATCATTTTCTGCCATGTCCACTAACTGCTTCTATCATTAATTCAACACTTCAAAATGAACACTTCACTGAATCCCTGAAACAACACGTAGTTAGTGAAAACTCTATGTCTGCAACAATTTTGATGATTACGAAGTTATTCTGACGTACCGGTAACCAAATCCGTTAGACTCCAAATGGCCTACTTTTAAAATACTGTTCACATAGACCGCTTAAGGTCTTTGGCTTTCACTTTAAAAGTGGGAATTTCATGAACATCTTATTATTTCTAAGATATTTACAGATTCGTTTCGGCCAAAATATCTAAATATTAAACGCCAAACCAAACAACTAACAATGTGACCATTAGTAAAAAATAATTTATGTAATGATAAACATTATTTATGAAGCTATAATTTATGTTCATTTTATTGATAAATGTATGGATTCAAGGCCCCAGGTTTCAATTTTATCAGTCAACTTTATAATATAATTACATTTACTACCACATACATTTACAAAAGAAAAACATTTTGCTCTTTGTACTTGATATACAACATTTCTTATCTGGCAATAATAAAGGAGCACAGACAAGTCGAAGAACATAAAACCGAGTAAATTAAAAGACTTGGCTTAAAGGACTCGTATCCAGGCCATAAACTACAAAAAAAAAAAAAAAAAGACAAGTCGAAGAACTTTTCTGTCAATAGTGTCAATGTCATTAAATGCTGTTGATTTCAGTTTATGTCTGTCTGATGAAAATTATTAAAAAGAAAAAAACGTATGCCGTTGCCGTTCTTAGACTCATTGATTACTGATTATGAAAATAATTCTCGTAAAATTATTCTCAAAAAGTGATTTTAATAAGGGAACATAAGCGTCAGTACCTTAAATTACTCATGGTGTTTTCTGACTTATTGTGCAAATCTTTAACTGTGGTGTGTAAACAAAGTTTATTCAATGTTTTAAAAATGTCCACATAGGTATACTCTATCGCTGGTTCAGATGTATTACTCCTAGTGGTTCAGATGTATTACTCTTAGCGAGCATGTATTTTTCTCAAATCACTGGGAATCTTGCTGTTAAGGGTATTTTTCTAAAACCCTTTCTGCTGCTACAAAGCTATCTGGACCTTACTTTATATTATTTGTATAATCATTTAAATAACGAATTAATTTTAGAACTAATTTTAAATTTTCAGGTGTTTTTATCCATCTGCTGGTTTCATGCTATCTATCTGAGTTGGAGCTTGTCATCATTCCAACAATATGCCACTCACGGCTGATGTGGCTGCCCAACAAGTGCAGGTAGGTGGCAACCCATCATATTAACATATTAGGTTACCTACAGTATCAGAGGATTTGCCTTCAATAGTATTTTTCCAGCAGTCACAGACATTATAAAATGAAATTGTTTGGACAGGTGGATTTTAAAAAACCACATTGCTTTTTCTTAGGAGTGATATATAACTTTTCATCTGAGAAATGTAGGTGAAGCCACTGGCAGAAGCTAGTGCTGAATAACACAATATCTTGTATTATAAATAATTATAATAGAGCTTGAGTGATATCTCAATATTACCCGTGGCCAGGAAACCATCAAACATGACAAAACCAAATATATTTTGAGAGGATGATTTTGTGCCTCTAGTTGAGGCTGTAAATGGCAGAGGACTGAAGAAGATGGAAATCTCTGGAGGAGGCCTTCACATCAGGGGCTCCAGCACATAACATAATTTTTTTTTAAACTTGCATGTACAAGGATCTTTTATATTATTTTGTTTTAGCTATTTATGTACCATGCTTTATGTGCATGAATTATCACAAAAATGAAATATAAAATATTTGTAAATAAATGAAATGTAAGTCTTACTGTTATTATAAAATAAAGGCTGGCAATAATATCTAAGGTTTTTCCAGGAGCGTCTGCGGTGTTTGCACAGATTAATCTATGATATTGAAGCGGAAAGAGCTCGCAATGAGCAATGTATTGATTCAATACTTAGAGCTGAGAAGGCTGTGGAGTCCCCGCCTTCTAATGAAGATTCATCCGGTTCTTCTCAACAGGTATATAAAATTGCAATGAAATTCTAGGGAAATAAGAAAGTGTTCATAAAATACGGGCATCGAGGATTGTGAATAAGAGGAGGGGATCGAGTCGAATCGCATCTAATTTTACGTTTTTAAATATCACCCTCGCCAAATATGTATATGTATAATGTACCTAATTCTTTTTTTGAAGAAAAAAAAATTCTATTTTGGTCGATTTAATTAAGTTTAGTAAGAAACCCGCACTTTGAAAAAAAAGGGGGAGAGGGTTGAATAAAATGTCAAAAAAAACATCTTACCAAGGGCACAGGGGATGGTCGGACATAAAAAAACACATCACGTTATTTTTGAAAGCCCTCTAATTGAAATTAACAAAACTAGCCAAGTGCTTGTCAGACCCATGCAACAAAAACTTCAGTCCCAAGATCAAGTTAGTATGGGAACCCCTTATGTATATTGTTATTTTGTTTCAAGAAAGAAAATTTTTTTTTTGAATGGGGCATATTCTCGTATTACTACCTACTCCACCCCTATGTGGGTTGAGAGAAAGTGTCAGACTCTACTGAATTTTAGGGTGGCCTATACCTTCTGATCCGGGCCATGCCATTTTTGCACTGTACCCATTGGTGGTGGCCGTGGGATGACAGTTCTTTTGCGATAAGGAATTTCTGAAAATGTATGTATGATCTTTATTAAAAATGTTGATTTCAGCAAATGCAGTTGAAGAATTTATACAAAGCTGGCTTGTCTGCGGCAGAACAAGAAGAGAATTTGCTACGGAAGGCATTATCCCGTATTTACGAAATTCGTAGCATCAAAAACGAGAGGAGAATACAAGTAATGTTTTTAATACACAATAATAAATCATGTCAATCAATCATTAATATTATATTATTATGTAAAAAGGAGAATGCATTTCTTGTAAAGTTTACTAAATTATAATAAAAACATTTCAGGCTCGCTATGCAGGAAACAAAGAAACAATTGGTTGCGGAGCTCTCATGAAAATGTTATTGAGTGCCGCACAAACATTGCCACTACACGTAGGGCGAGTCGGCGAGCGAGCTCCGCCTCTGTGCGGAGCTGTGCCGCCCGACCCTGGACATGTTGCAAAACCGGGAGACGCCGTCGCCGCACTTGTTAGGGTATCAGAAAAGGAGGAAAACTGGATATTAGCGGAGGTGACCTAAAACTGTTGAGTTGCTTATAACAACAATTAACAATCACCAGGGAGCGCTACAATAACATTGTTTCATTTTGCTCACTTACAAATAATTTACCTAGTTGGCCTCTTTGGTCGAGTGATCGCCACTGCGACTACCGAGCAAGGTATCTTAGTATCTTGGCTACGCATAACTGTATGTTGTCGGTGACATTCAGTGCCGCCTATCTTATTAACGAATAACATTTACTCAGGTGGTGAGCTGGCTGCCTGCTCAAGGTAAATACGAGGTTGATGACATTGATGAAGAGCAGAAGAACCGCCACATACTCAGCAAGAGGCGAGTTGTTCCTTTGCCCTTGATGCGCGCTGACCCACGAGTCGACGAGCACGCTTTGTTTCCTAAGGGCGCAGTCGTGATGGCGTTGTATCCACAGACCACTTGTTTCTATAGAGCCGTGGTCAACAGGTTACCTGCTAACGCTGCTGATCCTTATGAGGTGCTTTTTGAGGTGAATATTACTGTTACATAACTGCATTAAATTTTATAGTCCTGTCTGCTTGTAACATCAAACAAACTAAGCAATAATAAATATTTACAGGATTCGTCATACGCCGACGGTTACTCCCCGCCGGAGCGCGTTGCCCAGCGCTACGTGATTGCGATCAAAGAAGGCAAGGGTCGCGCCACTTGACACGGCTCCAGCACTTGCTCGGAGCGGCCTCCCTCCAGCCGCTCGGAAGCCACTTCTAGTGACTCGATGCTGTAGACTTGTGAGTTGTGACAGTTATAAATGCCGCCAAATTCATGGACTTATGCTATAAGGCGACCGAGGGATATTAATTTTATTTTTATTGCCCATGCTTTTACCACTGTAGCATATTCAAATTGTCAAGTGAGTGTGTACACGTGATTGGACAATGGATGTTATAGGTGATATAAAACTTTTTCATTGCATTATTAGATGTAAGTTTAGTATTTTTAGATATTAGAAATATGCGGAATATTAATGAAGAATAAGAATTATTGAATTATGGTTAACAGGAATTGTGTATGACTTGTTCATAATATAAGCTCTTATGTGTTTTCTATTGTGGCAATCTGTAAGTAAATCTATTATATTTGTGTGTTGATTCATTAGTTAAGCTTCTAGTGTATTAACATAATTAATATGTTCTATGTGTATGGGAAAAATAAAAACAATTTTAAGGATACAATCTTTTATTTATAACCTAAGAGTAAAATCTAATAGAATACATGATATATATAGTGCTTATGTCCGAAATATACAATCATTTAATTTTGATTGGTAGTTAAAACAAATTGATTTTATAATTTTCTCTGATTTCTTACAAACTAAGGGAATAATAATACAATTAATGGAAGAAACTAAAATATGTCAGATTGTAATGGAATAAACAAAATTGACAAGGAACTTAATTTTAGGTAGTGCCATACCTACAATATGAGAACTATGGAGTAAAATAAAATCTTTACTACAAACAAATTATTCAGTCAATCATGTTAAGATGGAAAATAAAAACTCAAATAACATACTTGTATGTTGGCAGAAGCCTGGTAAATAAAACAGTGTTCTAGACTCAGAAACACCAATTCATTCCGACACAGCCCTTGATAGACTCGATTACTATTATAACTTAAATCTTACGAAAGCAATGAGCAAAATTCAAGTTATGGCATATCAATACTATATGTATTATTATCAACATAAATAAAAAATGAGATCAATATGTATTTTTCTCAACGTTGTGGGCGCTAAGTACGCGTTACACTGCCTCCGGGCGGCATCTTGGCACTGCTTGCAGTACAAGTTGTGACAAACTAAGCATTAAGTCATAGCGGTCAATCTTAACAAAATTGATTTCACATTTACCTAATAGAATTCGTCACTTAATCAAACCGTTTTTAAAAGAAAAACAAAATACGTCGGCTAGAGAGCTAGAAGCGATTTTTGGTACTAAAATGAAATGAAATAAATATGACTAAGAAAACGTAAATAGACTCGAGTGTTAATTTTGGATGGATTTGATTGAATCTGAAAACAAACAGAATTTTCATTACAATGTGCATTTTTTATAATTTAAATGTGTAGGGTAAGGCATTGAGCTTGTGGTACCGTCTAGACTGCCTGTCGGTCCGTCATAAGTCCCTGCAGACGGCGTGCCACGCTAGCGTGCGCAAGGCGAGCTCGCTTCACGACGTCTCCACCCGCTTCAGCGCCACGCTTCACTCCCAGTGCGCCCAATGATGTGGCCAGCCCACCCACTTCGCACGACACCATTGTGTTAATCGCATGCAGGTCCTAGTTAGACGATGGAAAAATTTAGAAAGCTTAAAATTAAATAAATGGTGGTAGGTGTTATAGTTTCCCGACTATAATTTACCTTTGCAGGACTGCGGCTGAAGCGGTAGGTAAGATGGTGGTGCGGCGGTGGCGGCGTGGTTAGAGGCTTCACGTACAGCTGGTGACGCTCCGACACTCGCTGGCCCGCGGGTGACCACGTCGCATCGCCGCGCCCGGCTGGCAGCGGGGACAAACTACATTCCTACAAATAACATATTAACTTAATACTATTGCTTTTAGAGCACTAACGTTGAAAATAATTTAGTTATACATACATCTTTATGCTTCCCAGTAAATCTTAACGCAAAGTTTTGCATACATTGGACATAAACTTTATTGTAGAAATTAATTAAATCGCCTCTTTCTGGTGAACCTGAGTAAAAGAAAAATATTTACATAAAGAATGCATTGCTTAATAAAATCCAATATCAAATGAATAAAAAGGGACAGCTTACTCTCTCCATCGCTCTGTTTAATAAGAACAGATCTGTACACATGATTATCAGCTAAAGGCCGTTGTCGATAACAATGCATGATTTCAGTAAAAGTCCTCTCTACTTGATTAGTAGGATTGTTTGATACCTAAAAAAAAAACAATTTTACTTTGAGTTTATAATAATAAAGACATATTTACAAAACTATTTTTTGTATTCAGATAAACAGAAATGGTAAACACGAAGAGTACTTACTCTACATATAACGTAGACGGCGCACATGAGTATTTGGTCAAGGTGACGGTCCTTCATAAGCTGCGTCTGATGCATTACAGAATATTCTAGACACGTCCATATCTTCTTCTTTAGTTCTTCGTCAGTCAAACGCAGTCGAGTACACAAATCATTTACACGCACAACAGCTAAACTATAAAACTGTAACAAAACAAGGCACACATAAGTTTAGTTCCGCATATTAAATGCTAGTTCATTTCGAAGTCTGCAATGACTGAATAAAAATACCTTTCTAAAGAACAGTATTAACGAGTTATTTGTTTTTTTGGGAGTAGTTGTATTGCTATTCGACTCGCCGTTTGAGCAACCTGGAGTAGGTTGTGAGGAGCTCGCCTCTTGCTTACACGGCGTATTGTTCGTTGCAACTGGAAAAAAATATCACGTTAATCAACTATCGATTAATTGTATAATAAAATAGGTTCATAACTTTTCGTAAAATCTCACCGAGTAAAGACTGTCCTGGTTTGATTGTGTCTTTGAACAGTTGCTTTTTAGCCTGGTCCGCGATAGGTGACAGGTAACGATCGATAACTGATGAAACTGGTGATTGAAGACCATCTGTGAAAGAATTCATTTAGAAAACATGTTCCATCGCCATTTAACCTTATACTGATTAGATTTTAGCAGGTAAAGCACTAACTAGTTCTACGGTGTGGCGAATCGTGGACTTTAACGTCAATGGACGCTGGAACTGGAGTCTTACTTAGCTGGTCCCACAGTGGACTGTCTGATGTCCACACTAAGGACTCCAATACTTCTTCCTCTACCTGAAAGAATTAAAAAAAAACTGTATTAGTATACAGCATAGGCAACAGCTTAAAAAATGAGTATCATTAAATAAAACTACAATTAAACTTACAGCATTAAGATGTTTGATGACATCACGACTTAGTTTTTCAACTACAGCTTGTACTACAAGCTCGATAATCTTATAGAAGTGGAAGGCACTGAGTCCATATATCTGCAATACTTTCGGGAACTTGAGCGAGTGGAAGCCGTAAGCGTGAAGAACTATTTCCGTACAGCACGCGTAAACTGCTAACTGGTATGTTTCCTGAGTCAGCAGCATCTGGTAAAAGAATTGGTTGTTTAGTATTTTCAACACACAAAAGATTACGCAAACCATTGATTTGATGGCAAGCTATCGGCGCCGCCAGCGCCACCAGGGGATTTACGAGTGCATTGCCGGTGTTTTGCGGAGATTGCCAGATTTCTAGAGATTGGAGAGGGATGAGGGGGAGAATTATTATTGGTCACACGGCGAAAAGGTTGTTTCATGAGGCCGTGGTATCAATCCGGCCGTGCCCACACTTGTCTGCTTGTTTGCCGTTTTATCCCATAAAAAAAGACATGTTACTACTGACTGGCTTTTCACTTACCCCAGATGTTGGATCTCTAGATATGCAAATTTTCAATCGTAAATTCACCTACCTAATTATATCATCCAATCGGTTATTAGCATTTGTGGTGCAGACTATTACTGTTCAAATATAGATAAAATTTCAAATAACAAGAAAGTAAAAGTGGTACCAGTTAAGCTAGATTGCCCACAAAGATAATCAGAGGAAAAAAACAAAACAGTATCTTTATCATGCAAAATGCATTTGGCTCTGATAAGAGAAGGCTTGTGCAACAGTTAGGTATTTTATTAATGTTTAAATAAAACCTTTGTAGCCAATTCTTCAATACATTAACTTTAATATTCTTAAAAGAGTTCTATTTTAATAATGAAGTTTAGATTTTAATAGACAAAATATCGATTTCTTTTGAAGCAGAATGTTACCACAGCCTCATACAAAACCGATGTAAGGCCTGGCGTTGTTTTGCCTTGTGAGTGAGGATTGTGGAGGCCAAATATCCTTCCCCTTGGCCCCAAAAGCGCGATAACGCACTCGTAACTCCTTCTGGTGTCGATGATATCTATAGGCAGCGCTTAATACTTATAATTTTATAATAATTGCTCAATTAAAGTTAGTTCACTTACATTTAAGGACACTTGTGGTTTCTTCCGGTGCTCCTCTCTAATGATGTGTTCGAATACTTTGTAATACAAACATGTGACCATATTACATCTGAATGATATAGTCTCGTTACTGGAAGTGGTATTGCTCTCCCTCAAGCTGTTAGCAAACTGTTCCATCCATCTGTTGCATGGCTGCACTAAATTAGTGTTTATTGCCTCCATGTTAACATTGCAATCCCTGAAAAATAAATAGTGATTGAGTATCTCAAGTAATTATTTAGTTTGTCTAAAATATTATATGCTTAAATCTGATCTAATCTAAATCTGATTCAATCTAATATGCCTATAGCACATCAGTATAGTAAAATAAGCACATGTTTGCCATTACATCGCATAAAAAGACTGCCACAATCACAATACAAATAAACCTATTATTATATTATTATTATTATATATTATATTATTTTGAAACATACAAAATGCAAATGTTGGCTTTACAACATTTTTTTATGCAAAAGTTATAGAATAAGTACAAAATGGTATCTCGTCATCATAGAACACACAGAAACACTAAAGAAATATATTTTTTAATTGATGAAACCCCAAGCGAACACCGGAGATCACACACTTGTTTTGTTATTGTGTCTCTTATTACCATCATTGAACAGTTACAGTTTAGTATACAGGTACTTACGAGAACAACTTTAAGAGGTCCCGGGAGGGTTGCGGTTTGGCCTGTCTGAGGTACGCAGCGAGACGAGCGAGGCTGTTCTTAGCTTCCGATACCGGTGTAAGTTCCTCGTCCCGACGAGCTAAGTACCGGCGCCCTGTGAGCGGAGTCTCGTGGCAAGCGCGGTTGCTCTGATGACAAACAGACAATTATAGAAACACCAAAAACGTTTAAGAACTTCTGCCTGTGTCTTAGTATTCACTGATAGAGTAGATCCAATTTAAAGTGAAAGGATTCCTCATGTTGGATCTTGCTAAGTATTTTTGATATTTTTGTTTGAAGTAGCATTTTCGGCGTACACACTTCAAGCCTCTAGTTTCTACACAATAGCTAAAAATTCTAACTTACTGGGCCAAATGTAGCAATAACTTGTGATATTTCATCTCCAGACACTTTATTTGAAGTTCCAATTTGTTCATTTGCATGTTCACCTAAAAACAAACGAGAATTAATTGCCAGAAATTAGTAGTAATGAAGTCGCCCGCCAAAAAGTACCTTCATAATCAACAAAGCAAGTTAAAATAGGATTCATATAGTAAATATTTGACATTCTCACAATACATAATAATTCATAAAGACCTGCAAAAATGACAAATGACAACTGCTGTTTGTAATGATATTTTTTTCTTTAATTTCTTAGCGGCCAGCATTATAAATAAAACCTCTTTTATAAAAATAAAGACGACTCACCTAAAAATATGCGCTCATCAAATTCACCAACACTTAAAACATAAGTTTCATATAAATTGTTCAATGATTTAAGATTTTGGTCAAAAACCCCCACGTCAATGACTCCAGAAAGTTGTTCCTTATCACCTTTCAGAATCTAAAAACAATAAAAAAATATAGCATTTTGTAGATGTATTTGGAATAATACTAATAAAGTAAATTCACACCACTTCAATATTTACAGAAAAACAGACCTACCATATTTTTTCTATAAATAAGTAATAACATAATGATTTTCTAAATTAATTTTCGAAAAATTCAGAATTTCTTACTTTAGTACTGCAGTAATGCAATGCACAAATGCACAGCTTAATGCAAAATACAATATATTCATGTTACACACAATTCAAACTAATCAATTATTATTATCAATCTGATAAAATGTTGTTCCATATTTCAAAACCTTTACTAAATTGAATAAGCTGAATTGATCTACTTGGTGAATTGCAATGAAGCAGAAACAAGAAAATGATGTGTCTGAAATTACCTCTACTCTTGTTTTGTATGCTTTATATGACTGTTACTAAATGTACATAAGCTTTTTAAATTCAAAATTATTTCACTATTGAACAATAAGAACGCCGAATACAGTTTTTCTGCTCTCTAATCTGAAAACATCAGCAGCAAAAAGAACTGGATAAAATCCAGATGGTACTTGTACTAAGTACTGGCAATAAGCATTATCTTTCTACTTATTTGATATCAAACTTACTTGTTTCTCAAAGAATGACTTCACAACAGGTTTCCAGCTGTATTCCTTAGTTGATGCGGCATCTACTAGTAGACCATTCTTTATCTCACACAGTGTGGACATAATACATGGTGCTGTTGATGGCATTTTGAATTCATCCTTCAACCAGTCATTTGGTAGACCTACAAATGTAAGTATTATTTTGACAACAATCTTATCTATTTAACTCTTAGTTTAATAAGGTATGTATTAAGTTTTATCTGACTACAGATTTGCTAAAAAGGCTTGAGTATAAAACCAAATATTATTTTGTGCCACCTGTTACAGGGGGCTTAAAACTTTAAATCAAAAATAACATTAATAAAAACATCTAAAAGATACACACCTTTGAAAGCAGGATTAATCAAATCAATCCTTCTTCTCAAAAAAGCATTGGCAAATACAAAGTCCAAGCACGAAAGCAGCAAATGGTACATGTCTACAAGATCATGAGCTGATTTATGAAACTCTCCCTTGACACATATGTACAGACACCAGGTAAACTCATACAGGGCATTTGTAGTACATGGCTGATTCCTGTGTAAAGAATTATAACATATATTTAAGTATTTCTATTGGGTTAGTTTTCTAGCCAAGTTAGTTTGGCAAATTTTCTATTTACAAGCAGACTAAGATAGAAGTTTACAGTTGGATAATATTACACATATTTATATTTCTGTCTAGATAATTTGAAATAGAATAACTATTTATATATAATACTATGTTCACTAAAGTTCATTATCCTGTAAATACACACAAACAAAACTATTTAGGATTATTATTATGCAATACTTACTTGGTCCTCCTTTTAACAGTATTAGTTTTCAAAGGCTCATTAGTCAGCCCTGAGAATATTTCCTGAAAGATGGGCTGGAAGTTTCTGTACAGGACTGTAGATACTGCAAACTTATGCTCCAAATGAGATATCCTATCTCTGAACTCAGTTGACATCAAAGCCATCTCCATCCAATTCTTTATTTTTTTGAAGAACTGAATAAGGCTGTTGATAAAATATTAAAATGGTAAGATGTAAACCATTGTAAGAGAATTTATTAACTTTTCTAATTTATAGTATTTTACCTTATATTGCATAGTCTCAATAGCTTAGTGAGACTGACACAATTTCCTTCTACAGCCTTTCCAGATTGCACAGTTGGTGTTATGGAGGTCCTGCATGCCACATAAAGGGCACATGCCATCCAATGCAATGTATCACCCTACAAAAATAATGTTAATTAATATGAATCTAATATCTATCTTAATTTATAAAATGCAACCCTAACCATGCCATACCATAGAGGTATATAAACAAAGGTTTTAAGGAAGATCCTACAAAAAATATTTTTCACTGTATATGAATTGTGGAATGTTATACTTAGGGAATAATAACGTATGATTTAATATGCTAGCTTAGATAAGACTCGTAGCGAATAATATACCAAGTGAAAGTTGTAGGTTAAAAAATACACAAACCCATATCACAAAGGTTTGCATCATACTAAATAACTGTATAATTCAAAATAATAAGTAAAGGACGTGTTATTTTAATTCAGAACAAGAACTCCAAGGGAACAAATGAAAAGACGTAGCAATTAGCAAGGCAAGGAAGTAATCAAAAATTATATATATTTGTATGGCTGTGGCAAAGAATGTAAACGTGATATTTTCTTTAAACTAAATACTTATATGAAATAATTGTCCCAAAGTACTTACATCTAAAGTATAATGTCGTTTTATATCAAGAAAGGAATCCTTAGCCTTTTTCGCTGCAACAGGGTCAACATTTAGATCTGAACAAAGACTGTCCATTTTAGCTATTAAATTTTCTTCACTCTCGTCTAAGTTAGACATTTTCACGATGATTTCACAGTACGAAATACTAAATAAAACATAAAAATAAACAACCTTATACACGTAAACTTATCCCGAGTAGGCCTGATTTTGACAATTTGACAGATATTTGGCGGGCATTGGCGGGAATAGCACGACTCCTCCCACGCGCGTCAATTTTGTCTTTGGCTTACAATATGGCTGCGGAAAAGGGTTGGTCTCACTATAGTTTTGCATGATCCACGTTTTATTAAAATAAAAGGTTTTTGTAGAATTCACACAGTCATTGCCCATATTTTACTATCAAAGATTTTTCAGTTGAGTTTCATAATGTATAATTAATGATGAGTCCATGCAGTAGGAATTTTTATTTTATCAAGTAACAATTTAATTTTGATTCTATCTCCTAGGAGGAATTAACTACTTTGAGCAAGAAGATTGTTTTTTTGTGAGGGAAAATCATCAATTGTCTTCTCCCGCACAGGGTCGGGCGAAAGGGAGTGTCAGACTCTTACTGACTAAAAACCCCCCGTTCCTTCTCCTAAGTCACACTTTCGTGAAGTACAAATTATTCTTAGGTGTACCCTTTTAGTCAAGCAAAGCACTCATACCCCTGTTTATAGAAAATTAACTTCATTATCTACTCATGGCCTAACTAACTAACCCTTCCTGTTGTCTGGTGAATGGACAGGTCGTGTACTAGCGTATATTCTGTGGTAAGCAACCCTGGCAGCTGACGGCGAAAACGTCAAATATAATATAAACAATGATTATCATTGGAATTGGGAATTCTATAATTTAAATGTATTATCTTGATTGTTTTGTTTTTCTTGACAATAGATATTCTATATTTTGAATGATTGTGGACTTGTACATTGATAACTTTTATGAGATTTTTTAATTAATTGTTTTATATTTGTCAAGAAAATGATTTCTTTTCATCGGCTTTATCATGTTTCTTGCGTAGCTCTCAATTTGAAGAAGCAAGGTTTAAAACTATGTAAAATGGTGAATCCCAAGAATAAAAGGTAAATTCCATTTTCCTTGTCGTTATTTTGCAGTGAGGCTATGATATTTGAGGTTATGTGATTGTTTTGGTCGGTTTTCAGGCAATGGCATCCAACGCAACAATTCTTCGAGAATACTCTGCCAACTGTAAAAAGTCTGACGCTGCAGAAACACGAGCCTGGGAAGCGTGGAATGCGGCGCACAGCTATGCTGAACAAGATGTTTATGAAACAGATAACTGACATGATGTCTACTGGAACGGCTGCTTTGGATGTAGTGGGACGAGGGATTGAAATATCAAGAGTAAGAACCCTATACGTTTATTCACGACCACAATTTCATTTTACTTTTAGTTTGTAGCTAACTACCCTGATATTAGAATTTCTGCTAAAGACTTAATACAAAACAAGATTTATCATCAGTCTAGGTTTAAACCATTGAGCCAGTTTTTGTGTATCGAATTAAAAATAGGCGAAAATAAGATTGAAAATTGAAAACAACTCAATGGTTTAAACCTAGACTGAACATAAATATTGTCTTGTAAAAAGGGGGTGATGTTTTGTGGATCTACCTTATTTAATGTAGTCCTATCCTAAGTACAACTGCCATATCACTTACTATTCTTTTTTTCTTGCTTGGTTTTACTATTTAAATTCAATTAAATTGGAAGAATATTTTACTGAATAAGATGATGCTTATTTACAAATATTTTGTTACCTATTTTAATAATTTAAACATGGACTATAAGATGGCATAATGTTTTACCCCATTCTCTTGTATCCTTGGCTTTCTTGCTTGTCTTTAGCAACCTATAAGTGCCCAATGCCGAAGAATGGTAGCTTCCAGCATTGATGATAGTTGCCTTACTATGTGTCAAATGTGTCTAAACAATTTCAGAAAGTAAATATGTATATATAAATGGAAAAAGTCATATTGGAGCTTGCCAAGGGTTTATAACACCCACATTTATGAAAAGCCTCTCGGGGACCCACATTTATGAAAAGCCTGTTAGGGACATCCATTTTTTTTTACTTGTAACCTCTAATAAAGACAATACATACCATTCATACAACAACAACAAGTACATAAAACATTATAAGCATAAAATTGAATACAACAATTTCTCATTTCCAGGTAAATGTGACTCCAGATATGAACACAGTGAATGTCTTTTGGGTGTGCAAAGGCAATGCTTCAGATGCTGAAACTGAGAAGATATTGAACAAAGTAGCTGGTGGACTGAGGCGTGAGCTATCCACCCTCAGGGTCATGGGAGAAGTACCTTACATAGTGTTTGTTAAAGGTACATTATTTTATTTAAGTCTTGAGATGTCTTCTTTAAGCTGATGAGTGCTTTTTTTGTGTGTTAACTAAGTAATTTTTTGAGAGAGACCACCTTGTAACCCTTTCTAACAAACCTGTATGTTTTTAAACTATGATCTCAAAATAACCTGGCATGTTTTATACTCATTCAACTATCTAGATAAAAAGGGTGAGTTTGTAGATTCTGTAGTAGTTATTTACCTTTTTAAAATTTACAATATATAATAATTTCTTTTTCACATTTGTTTAGGCTTCCCAATATTACTTCTTACTTATGTATATTATAAATGAGAAAGCTACGATGTTTGGATGTTTGTTACTCAATCCCGCCAAAATGGCTGGTCAGATCTGGATGACATTTGGCACAGGCATAACATACTCTCTGGAATAGGACATAGGCTACATTTATCGACATATCACGCGGGTGGAAGCAAGTTGTTACATAAGACGAATGTTTCAAAATCCAATCACCTGTTCACAGATAAGCAAGAAGCTCACCTAGTTGACTTGGACCGTCGTTTGGCAATAGCTGACTATGGTGAGGACTATGCTCCTTCTGACATAGGACAGTTGCTAAAGTCTGAATTCACTCTAAATACCAAACTATCACCAGAGGTGAAGGTAAATAATCTATACTTCTATACTAGCTTACTTTTACTTTTTTTTTATATTATAAAGCTGTAAAGTTTGTTTGTTTGAACATGTTAATCTCCGGAACTACTGGTTGGAATCGAACAATTCTTTTTGAGTTGAATACACCATTTATCAAGGAAGGCAATAGGCTATAAAACATGACGCTACGATCTGTAGGACCCGAGAGGCGAGTGAAACCGCGTCAGAGTACCTATCACTATATACTTGACCTGGTTCAGAGTTTGGTCTTTCTTAATTGATTTGGTTTTATTATTTACTTGACTAATTGTAAAATGTTCACAACTTGGTACCGCTATGAAATCTAAGATTAGACTCAGAAGACATTCTGAAAATTAAATTAATACATAACATACACGAAAAGAGTTTGTTGTAGTAGAGGCATTTTTCTCATATCCTGTACTTGGAGTGAATCCAATCCAAAAAGAGTTGCCAATTTACATGCTGAATATTGTACATATATACTTACGTATTACGTGACATAATTATTGCAATACTCATGTTTTACATACCAAGCTATAACTATTTTGATACCTTTTTTTTTGTGAGGGGAAAATCATCAAATGACTTCTCCCGCCCAGGGCCGGGCAGGAGGGAGTGTCAGACTCTTACTGACTAAAAACCCCCCCTGTTCCTTCTCCTGCTCTGTGCCGAGGTCGCGGTGCCTCATTGCGCTTACCCCGCAACCCCGGAACTATTTTGATACCTACAAAGCATATTTTGATGTTCAGAAGTACCAGTAAGTGATTAATAGAAATAAATGATTTTCACTTTTCCTACAGGCTAAAATAAAGCAACTAGAAAATGATTTGCCAGTTTATGAAGAACCATTGCCAGAAATGACTCACAGTATATTTGGGTTGGACCATGCAAAGATAATGAGCCGGCTACTGGCTGCTAGGAAGAAAAGCAGTGATGCTTGGAGCACTCTCAACACAGAATCTAACGTCATATCCTACAGAGCAAGTCATAATAAAGTCCCTGATGTTGTTGGCAACCAGAGAAAGGAGCTGGCTGAATTCTTACTCCAGAGACAGGTTATAATTTTTTATCAATACTTCAAAGTTAATGATTGTGCTCCATCTAAAAACAACCCTCGTCAAAAATTATTCAATGTAATTTACCGAAAATGTGGTTGATGTTCTCACCACTACTTTAGAATTAATTCGTAAGTTTATAACCGTAGAAATGGGTGCTCAAATAAAACCTGTTTTATTGGTCTAAAGTGTTATGTTCGTTGCGTTGGAAAAATTAAGCATCTATGTTTTTGCGTCTAAAAAGCCGCGTTCTAACTGCTGTACGTTGATCCTACTTAATTCCCATTAATCTGTAATTTACTTACACGATGTTAAATTTTGCATGAACAACTCATCGGGGTCAGTCCATCATGGTTTTAGTATTGCAATATATAACATTTAAAAGTGCCTAATTGTTGTAACTAATCCATACCTATAGCATCTTTCTATCGCTCTACACCAATCCAAACTTAGTTGATAATCTTTTGCCCTCATACAATAAATCCAAAGTACACTAAGCTTTGCATCGATAGTTATTACACAAAAACATCTGCTATGCCACGGTAATTGCGACAACTGGGAATAAATTTCATCTTCTTGGCGGTGATAGAACCAACAATAATAATCAAACCTCCTTGCGTAGTTCCTCCACTACCTGGTATTGCGGGCGTTCATAGACGGCCCTAATCACTTCTGTCATAGGTACGATCGAACCTGGCTATTTGCCCAATTCCTAAAGTAAAAAAAATTATTGGGTCGTCTTGATGAACACCAAAGGATAATTATTTAGTCTAGTCTAGTTATCTCTTAATAATTTGTAAACAAAACATCGAACACGTAGGTAGATCTTATTCAAAACAAAACAACAAATTAAAATCTACGAAGATTCTAAAATAACTGAGAACTGACTATAATGAAAAGTTTGATGCGACTATTTCAGATTATGCAAAAGAAACTTTCAAAGCGAAACAAAGAGTCTCAGGAGGCGTGGCTGCTGACGGAGAGGGAAGAGGAGGATGGGGAGGACGCAGACGAAGATGATGAATACGAAGAAGATGAAGATGACTATAACTACTACACGGGGTACGGTGAAATACCAGAACCCACCAGTGAAGTCAAAGACACTAAGTTGTAGTTGTAGTTATTGTTAGTAGGCCAAATAAATTATTTTACTTAGTTTATTTTGCTGTTTCATTTCAAATGCATCGAGATTTTTGAGAGTGTATAAAATTTATCTCGAGATTTTTGAGAGGAAATAAAATATGTAGATAGGTGTGGTAAAAATGTTTCTAATTAATAATCATTTTCGTGCTGTAGGATAATGAGGAGGTAAGGGGAATACCTTCGGATATTTTTTAAACGAGATTTCTTTGTTGTAAATGAAATCAAATTATGCGTTACCTGAGTACGTAGATCTAAATAACTGTTAATGACGCAAAATGTCCTTCTTTGCGGGAATCAAACCAAAAAAGCCAATGTTGGTGAAAACGTGCAATTAGTATTCCAACTTTGGCTGAGGGTAACCGCAATAATGTCCCGAGAATCAGGAGAAAGAACGAGGGAAGAGAGGTACCCTGGGCGGGAGAAGTCATAACTTTCCCCCAACCCCTCCCATTCCCAATCACCAAAACCCCGAGTTACCAAAAACACTAAAATTGTAATCCATAGGCGACGCCCACTGCTTACCATCAGGTTATCTGTCTGCTTGCTGCCTTAGATATTCTATACAGGGTGTAAAAAGACACTTAACGAAGCCGTTAACTACGCATACTGCAGTTCTAACTAAGTAGCTTTACGCTAAAATATTCACAGGGAAACGACTTTTATTTTTAGGTATCAAAAAAAAAAAAATAATAATCAGGAAAATCGAAAATTCAGGTAATGTTTGTTTGGAAAAAGGTTTTGTAATAATACTTAGAATTCGATTGCGCAAAAAAAATTTAAAAATGCATCTTAGACCTTCAATATCTCGAGAACCCGTGGAGTCCCAGCTATGGTCTTAAAGAAAAAATGATCCAAATAATGGGTAGAATACGTGGCTTTCGGCTTCGTTAAGTGTCTTTTTAACCGACTTCAAAAAAGGAGGAAGTTCTCAATTCGACGCGTATTTTTTTTTTTTTTTTTTTTTATGTATGTACACCGATTACTCGAAGACGCCTGGACCGATTTGCAAAATTCTTTTTTTATTCGATAGGGTATACTTGCCATTTGGTCCCATTGTCATGAGGTCAGGATCTGATGATGGAATCCTGGAGAAACAGAGGGGAACTTTCGAAAATTGTAGGGGCGAGTAGGTTTTTTGTATGATGTTTAAGTAGGCCTTTAACAACACTACAACTTGACGAAGGTTGAAGTCGACCAGATGTCGGAGCTGGAAGACAGTCGAGGGATCCCCTTGACTATTTGGAGTAAGTAATTGCCTTGTGTTTGGGCTTGAATGATTCGTATTGGCGAGCACTTTGCAGCAGGTTTGGTCGTAACTGTCATTAAGGGTCTGATGATGAGAACGAAGGACAGCTCAGGGAACTCCTGAACGGTTTACAGTAACTACTTCGTGTTTGAACTTAATTCATTTATATTGATGAAAACTTTGTACCTGTAGGTATGTATCATAACGACTGAAGGTCTGCAGTTTACCTGATGATGGAGACAATTGACCGTCGAGGGAATTCCGGATGGAAACGAGAGACAGTCGAAATAACTCCTCAACGGTTCATAGCAGCTTCCTTGTGTTTGAGCTTAATTTATTCGTTTTGATGAGAACTGTACAGCTTGATGGATTGTGACTGTCATTAGGGATCTGATGATGAAGACGAACGACAGTCTAGGGAACTCCTCAACGGTTTACAGTAGCTACCTCGTGTTTGGACTTAATTTATTTATATTGTTAAGAACTTTCCCTCTCCTAGAGAGATAGCCTGTGTCCCAGTAGTGGGAACATTAAAATGGCTGATGATAATGATGATGATGAGAACTTTCCCATTTCTTGGGATCTATATTTATTAATCGGGCGGTTTCTTTCATTGGCCAACACATAGCTACTTAAAAATATATACTATTCAATATGTTAATTTATATTTAAAATATTACTGTAGTTTACAGAAGAACTTGCAACAAACACGAAAAAGAAAAAAAAAAAAAAAACTACGTTTAAAAAAACCGACTTCAAAAACAAAAAAGTGTCAAATAAGTAATTAAAATTGATATTTTAATAGCACTCTTACGTACGTGAAGCTAATACTTTTAATATTAATAATAAAACACTATCAATTCTATGTGCTACCTATTCATAGGTTTGAAGTCGGTGCCAAGCCCTAAACAGAATAAAACTAAATGAGAATTAAGACTGTTTAACTGCTAAAAGACGAAATTTCCACAACTAACAACGCAGCTACCTACTACTACTTTTAACAACCAAGTAGGTACGAGAAAACTGTCAGAATTCATAATTCATCCAAATATCTTTCTAAGCTATATACAGTTTCGCCGGTAACGAAACCATATAGACTTCTGATTCTACGCTAACGCCATCAAGTTAGAAAATCGGTACTAAATTTCTTAAATCCTAACAAATAACTTCAAACGCGCCCGGCGAGTTTAGGTACTCATGTAATCATGCTTAGTATATTATGTATTAGGCTTGGCACCGACTTCAAACCTATGAATAGGTAGCACATAGAATTGATAGTGTTTTATTATTAATATTAAAAGTATTAGCTTCACGTACGTAAGAGTGCTATTAAAATATCAATTTTAATTACTTATTTGACACTTTTTTGTTTTTGAAGTCGGTTTTTTTAAACGTAGTTTTTTTTACACCCTGTATAAAGTACCTAATGAATAGGTTTTTTTTGAGACTTGAAAATCAATAATAACTTGCTGGACCTGTTTGGGGCGAGAGGAAGTGTCGCACTCTTACTGACTAAAAATCATCCCGTTCGTACTCCTGCTCCAGGCCGAAGCCTTTACAAATTATTGCGCTTTTTTTGGTGATGAAAAAAAAGGAAAATCAACAAATGTCTTCTACCGTCCAGGATGAGGCGAGAGAGAGTGTCAGACTCTTACTGACGAAAAACCATCCCGTTCGTACTCCTGCTCCAGGCAGAAGCCGCGGTGCCTTATTGTGCTTACCTCGCAACCCCGGCTAAACATCAGCCCTATAGTATAGGCCCCGTCTATGATGGTCTATAAAAGGGTAAAGGGTAAAGGGTCACCCTTTGAGGCGCGCGCGGAACGCAATGCGCCGTACCCCGAGCGTACGGCTCTGGTTCTGATCGGGCGTCTTGCTAGCTTACTCGCCGTCAGAAGACCAGCGAAATATAGTATCTATCTAGTCAAAGAAAGGAACTATTTGGTTTTACCACCTGAAAGTATCACGTTAAATCTTCGGGAATTTCAACTTTATTTTTCTTCAAAAGTTGCTTTTGTGAATTTAGACTTTTAGTCCATACGTTCTAACTTAGGACGGGGTACTATAGGCAGGCAGAGGCAGGCACGAGAAAACTACATAGGCAGGTACTGTGAACTGTGTAGGTAGGTACTTAAATAGATTTTCAGAATTCATTGTGACAGTGTCGGTTGTTAGATGACACACAATGCCGGAAGGGTAGGACTCATCCTCAGCTCATTAAAAATGACAGGTTCTCTCCCGATTTCTATGCGAAAATCGCTGTTAGCAGACGTAACATCAGTGAGTACATACCTACAAGACGCTTTGCCGCTTTCTGTCCCCATCCCTATCCCTATCATTGTATGTTAAATCTTTAAAATTAACCAACGGATTTTGATGCGGTTTTTTATAGAAACCTTCCTCTATAACCACTCTGGTTGAAGAGGAAGGTTTATATTTATAATAACATCTCTTTAATAGTTGAGAAAATAATAATGATAGCTAAATCAGCATCGCACCCGTGCGATGCCGGGTTTTCTTAGAAAGTATCATAATTGAAGTTATGCGTCAATCAATAGTTTGAATGACAAACATGGTTCAGGTTCAGTGTTGTGAATTTCGGATTCCTTTTTTCGATAATGGCGTAAGTAGGTATAAAGGTCTTTTAATGTTACTTATTTTTAAATTAGGTAATAAATTAATTAATTAATAAGGACTACAAAAATTTTATTTTGACGTTTCTATTTATGGTTTAGATAGTTGAAATAAATGATTTTCACTGCGACTTTGAGTTTAATGACAAACTTTTTTTTGCTTTTTGACCATCGATCACTATTATTAGAACTTTCGAACGGTCTTTTTTAGTGATCGATGTTTTTGACTTAAAAGAATCAGTAGTAATTATTACTACTGATTCTTTTAAGTCAAAACCCAAAAAAAAACTATCTATTATTGACTGACTAAATTATTATTTGTTCAGACTGACGAATGAACAAATAATAAATAATCTATCTCTAATCTCTGTAATCTATACTAATATTATAAAGAGGTAAAATTTGTAAGTTTGTATGTAGGGGGTAATCTTTGGAACCGCTGGTCGGATAGCCAAAAATTTTTCACTGATAGATAACTTCAATGTTCCTGAGTGCTATAGGCTATAAAACATCACGCTACAATCAATTGGAGCTGAGCAGCGGGTGAAACCGCGCGAGATTAGCTAGTTATTTATAAGTATCTAATACCTAGCTTTACTGACGAGCAAATACAAAATACAAATACAAATATTCTTTATTGTGGTACATAGGTAAACAGTGAGTTGTTACATGGTTTTTAAATTGTACACAGCTATGACCCGCCATAATGGCATACAATAAGTTTAAGGTAACATTTTATAAACTTTCAATTAGATTATAGATTAATTCACATAATAATATCAAGACTGCAATTAAAATTATAAGCATAAATTATAAACATAAACACAAATTATAAACTCAATCAAAATTAAATAACATCATCCAAATAATCCTTTAGAGTATAGTAACATTTGTCTATTAACAATTTAAATAATTTCTTTTTATAATTATGTAATTCTAAATCTCTAATTGTTTTTGGCAATGCAGACTCACGGACTATTATTATACCTACATATTTTGACCTTTCAAAAGCTTCTATTCTATTAGACTATTCTTTATGGTCTAGTAAGAATTTTAATTGATTTTGACTTTGACTTTACCTCTTAAAAAGGAATTCTGATTTACTTGCGCAATCAATTCTTGTAAACTCACATATTAAC